CACACGCTTACTACGAGATATCTCGTAGCTGGCAGTCAATGGGTTAAGAGGGTTCGGTTATCATCGGTTAGGTTAGGTAAACGAGTAATATATTAGTGACTTGTAAACAGAGCGAATAATATGTAAATAGAACGAGGTTATAAGCGGTTTCAAAGCAAACTTGTTGTGAGTAAGGCTGTTAGAAACTGTCAACTTCGTAGTTGCAAACTTTTCGAAGGAAATTACTTTAAACTAACAGCAAGAAACTTTAAAGTTCTCTTAGCTTTTAAAATTACATTTCGATATCTAGATCTCGTTGAATTCTTCAACAAATTACGTATTTTAATTTTCCTGTTTTGAAAGAAAGAACATCCACTAATAAATTTTAGAAAATTATTAATTTATTATATAAAACCTATTCTTTGATATCTATTCAAAATTATAGAGATTGTTAAAACATGTCTACCTAATAATTGATTCCTTTAATTATTATTCTAAATTTAAGAAAAACCATTATTCTTCTTCCACTTTTTTACCAAAAAAATGCTAAAATATTTCACTGCGCAATAGACAAGACTGACAGAAATTCACCCTTTCCCATCAAATTAGGAGCATTTTTAAATAGAATAGAATTTCGCGAAGTTCTGCAAGATTATATTAATAAAGTAACATTTAGAATAATATATTGTCTTTTTCGTTCCGCGAACTTTTCAGGCTTCCCCGAACTCAGTTAACTGATCAAAAAATCGATTCGGCGATGAAAGGGTTAAGCTGCCGGCAAAGTGACGGGTAGAAAAGAACTTACCAGACGACCCTTAACGATTTCTCTGATACCAGACACCAACTCTCCCATGTATTCCTCTTCTCGTGGCCGAGATGATACCATTTGCAGGTTACCTCCGCTGCCCAAAGGACGGAAACTGAGTTTATTGGGCGGTGGCAGTGAGGCCTGCTCCTGGGAATCGGACAACTGAGACCCAAGCGGATAATTTCCCGGGATCTGCTCGGACGGTGGACTTTGCAACGTATACTTGTTAAATGTGACACTTTTCGACAGTTTCGAGTGCCTCGCGGCGTAACCTTCTATAGTTGGTGCTCTCATTAATTTTCGTAATTCGGCAGTGGCCGCTTCGCGGTCCGGCGTGCTTGTGGCCGAAGTCTCCGAGCTTCCGGTTCGACTTCCGGCTGACAGCTTCTTCAGAATGCTCTTCAGGTTCCGCCTCTCCAGCGTCTCATTCTCAGGCGATAATTGATCCGACGGCGACGCCGAAGTTCGTCGATGCTGAGGAACAAACATTTCAGAGTGATTAGAAATTGAAAGAAGAGCAATCGGTATCAAACACGGAATTTCATTTTGATCTTGACACGATCAACTTTAAAGGACAATTTCCTAAATCACTTAATTCTTAAATCTTTCTCAAAGGTATGAATACTTATGTGCAATAAAATTTGTCTTTCGGTATATAAACTTTTCATCGATAACCTTTTAAGAAAATTATAAAAAAAATTTACTTACAAAAGAGGGAACTTGATTAACAAAACGGTGAATTTGTGAAGGGCTGAATTTCATTTGCAGAAACATGACTTAATTTGAAGCGTAAAAAAGAATACAACGAAAGGATTAATTTATATTTGAAAATGGAAAATACGATTTGCAGCTAATATAGGTAATGATGAAGCGTTACCTCGAAATAAAGAGAATATAAACCACGAAAAGATTAATTTGAAATGCAGAACCTATAATCCCATCATTTTCTCCATTTTCGCAAACAATTGGTACCACGATTCGTCGAAAATTTCCCTACCTGATTCAGTTTCTCCAATTTCCTGGCGTACTCGATAGCGCAGGCTTCCGAATGACTTCTGGTTAGATTCCCATCAAACTCGATCTCGGTATTTTCGCCGCAGTCGAGGCTGGAACTTCTAACCGCTTTCTCGAGTTCCGCCAACTTCTGTCTCTCGTTCAATATCTTCAGCTTCTTGACGAAAGGTAGTCCGCAATATTCCGGCGACAGATCATCGACAGACGCGTACATCTTCGTCTGTTGTCTGAGGTGCACCAAACTCTGCTTCAGCTGTAACCTCCTCAGAGGCGGGCTCATTTGAGGTGAGTTCTCTTTGTTCGTTATGGAGGCGTCTTTCAGCATGGCCCACGGTTTCTTCACGTTCGAACCGTTCGTCGATTCCACGTTCGAGCTACTTGTCGGTGATTTGATAGTCTGTTCGGCCGAAGCTTGTATCGAGAGTTGCTTCACGGGTTTGGGTGTCGGTTTGGGCGAAGACTCCTGCGACTCTTCAGGAATGACGTTCTTTGGAAGCAGAGGTTCCTTGGTGGGTGCTTCTTTGTCTGCTTGAGCCTCCTGCTCGTTTTTCGCCTTCAGCAACAGTATTCTCTGGAAGAACGGTAAGTTTGGGTTCATAGGGTTCTGTGCATCCGGTAATGGCTGCTGCATCGGAGGTTGCTGCTGTTGTTGTTGTTGCTGCTGCTGCTGCTGCTGCTGTTCCGGAGAGTGCACCTGCGTTTCCATCAAATTCCGACGCTCCTCTCGTTCCTCCTTCTCTTTTAATAATTTTAGTCTCGCGAGCAGAGGCAGACCTGCGCCGAGAGGCGATATGGGTGGTTCTTGGGTGTTCGATGCGGACGCGTCCTGACCGTTGTCCACCTTCTGCTGTTTCTTCAGCGTCGGTGCCTTCGACGTCAACGGTTGAAGCTCGAGACTCTCTTCCGGCCTGGTGTTTCTTCTACTTTTTCGCAACGCGTTCTTCAAACCCTTCACGTCGCTTTTCAGTTTGTCGACGATTCTTTTGCCCGTGCTGTTGTCGGAGGAATCGTGACCGGGGGATGTAGGCTGGCGCGTTGCTCTTGCCACCTTCTGAGCCTCCATTAACCGCTTCCTACCGAGGTTTTGCAGGATTTCCTGGGCTTCTGGGTAGTCCTTCATCGCGGCAAGCACATCCTCGCGAGAAAGGCTGAACAGCTCGGAGTAGCCTACAGAACGAACGTCCGCTGTGCGTCTGGAATTGCGAGTTTATTCGTCAGGTTTTATACAGAGTTTGTAACAACTTCAAGTATCTCGAAAATATTTGAGAAATGATAGTCGCGTGAAATACAGATGCTAATTGTTTCGGTGCTAGTTTGTTTTTACACCTTTTAGTGAAGTGCCTTGTTAGCGAATTCAGATAAAGCGTGAATTTTTATTTTTTCTTTAGTGAGAAGGTATGAAGAGGTATTAGTTAAAATACATTATGAGATATTATAAAAACATCTGTTAATATCTACAAATATCTAAATAATTCAGAATATGTAAATAATTATTGAGTCAGAGTTAAATAAACCGTGATATTTTGCAGAAAAATGTATTAGCAGAGATTGAAATGGATACTCATCAAGATATTAAAAATTTGTGTGATGAATAATTTACGAGTTACTTGAAGTCTAAGGCTCATCTTGTGCGGATAGAACTTTTGAAAATATTCTTTTTTATATTAATGGCTGTACGCTTTAAAAATCAGTTTAACAGGGTAACTCGCTACGGATGTTGGTGATTGATGCTACACTTGTCGCATCCTTGATGATTGATCGTTTAGCTATTTTTTTCTCGTTTGGTTATATTAAAACGCTCGTAACGTGTTATTTCTCGTAAATGTAACATTAATCTCGTGATTAATAATGAAGGCAAGGTGCTGAATACTAAATGCGTTGATACAAGATTGAATACTTTTACTAACGAAAATTTAAAAAATAGTATTATGGTTCATCCTCGATGATGCGAATATTAATAGTTGTTGAATAAAACAGTTTTGGCAATGTACATCTTAATTAATATTATTGCAAAATGTGATAAATTATATTACATCTTTCTTTCTTTTCTGTACTTTCCTTTGAAAAAAATGACTGTAACTACAGTTATAAAAGAGTACCTAAAATTTGCTGTACTTTTGAATCATTGAATTGTCGACCAAATTTGCAAAATTGTTGATGCTCTATATTTTAGTTATTCACTATACAAGAAACCACAATTAAGTCCTGCTTAATTATTCAGTTGGTAACACTGTCATACTTACGCAATTCGATTTAAGTATACATGATAAATTAATGGCAGAATTGAAGAAAATGTTTGCAAAATCAGAAATAGTAAAATGTATTATGAACAAATAGATTTGACCTGATAAAATGTTGCCGCTGCAAACTTATCGAAAAATGAATAAAAAAATTCGTAGAAATCTGCGACAGCAGTATTTTAACAATTTGTTAAATCCAGCAATCGTAAAAAAATTTACCCGTTTCAACAATAACATTTTCATCGCGGCACAAAAATGGATTACGGCAGTCGTTCTTTCGGTTATAAAAGTTATCGATTAACAATCAGCTGAACGATTTTTAAAATGAAATTGTTCAATGTCGTCGTAAATTACCAAACAGCAAACAATATTTTAAGTACAGTCCATAGGTGTGGAACAATAAAATTGAAAAGAGAACAAAATGCGAACAGCGTAATATATGTGTCAGGGTTAGAAAATGCGGAAAAGTGAAAAAAGAGGACAAATGAAACGTGGTTTTATCGATTTCGGTTTTCGCTCCATTGCCGTATTTTCGACGAGCCCAATATTTCAGCCATACGCTTTCTGCGTACAATTTTTCGCAGTTTGCATCAAATAAAAAGATCACAGAACTTGCAGCGGGTTCGTTCATTGGAAAACAAAACAACGAGACTTTTTTGAAAATTTGTACACTTCGCTAGCATTCGTATTGTTTCATAATATGATACGAGCAATATTTACATTTTTTAACTCTTCAAATATCTAATTTTCGTTTGAATATGGTTTTTTGCCTAGTTACAGTTTGTATTTAAATGAATTTTAAATATAATAAGCAATTTATATTAAACTGAGATAAGAATAATAATATTCAAATTTTATTCAAAATATGCTTGATATTTTTCTGCCTAATTAAAATTTATATTTAAATGAAGTTTAAATATGACAAGTAATTTTTATTAAATTGAAAACAAAAAATTAATATTTATGCTTTATTTAAATTTAATTGATAATTTTGAAAAATCGAGTTCAGATTACTGTGTTTGAGGTAGTAATTTTTGTACTTATATATTGAGCGACCATTTTATTAAGAAAATGTATAAATTAATATAAAATTCTATATTCCCAAATTCTTACGTTCTCAAATCCTTATATCTCCAAATTCTTATTTCCCCAAATTTTCATGCCTCCAAATTTCTATATTCTTGATTTCCCAGATTACCAAATTTCTAAATTCCAAAGCTCTATATCTCCAAATTCCTACTTCCCCAAATTTCTATAACTCCAAATTTTTATGACCCCAAATTTCTATATCTCCAAACTGTTATGACACCAAATATCTGTTCCCTAATTCCTAGATTACCAAATTCCTATAAGGTAAAGTGGGGTAAGTTCGTAAACGGGGCAAGTGCGTATACATGCTATTTTTATTACAATATGAGCGAAATTTCTCCATTTAGTATGTTTGTTTCCTCGTTTTGTTTCACTATATCCCCTTTTATATTTCAGCTAAGAGCACTTGTTTGCAGTATAGAGTACTTGCATAATGCAGTAAAAAGCATTTTATAGCAGATTTGTTAATAATTCTGCTCTTGCCCCATTGCACATGAAATAAAGTTTCAAAGTATTTAACTTCAAGTTACGCTCTTACCCCATTTTCGGGGAAAGTGCAGAGTAGTTGACATTTTAAACAATTTCCTATCAAAATCAAAATGTACAAGGAAATTTAAGGTCCTAGTTAATATTAATTAAATAGTAGTAATTGTGCAAA